ATAGATAGATAGATAGATAGATAGATAGATAGATAGATAGATAGATAAATGAATAAATGTAATTTTTAAAAAATGTTTAAAGCATGGGTCTAGACATCCTTGTGCCTGCAGAAAGGATCTTTTTAACTGTTTTATATTACCAAACTGCTGACCTATACAATGTACCATAAACCACTTTATAATCTCATTTACCAAAGAAAAGTTTGTGGAATAAAATACATAGAAATGAATTTACTTAATTAAAAATTGTTTCTTCTTATTATTATTATTTTTTTTTTAATTTGGGACAGGGAAGTTGAGACAGTATCTTTTGTAGCCTCAGGCTAGACTAGGACTATATAGTTAAGGATGACCTTGAACTCCTGACCCTTCTGCCACTATGCTGGGATTACAGGCATGCCTGCATTAATATTTTAAACCCTTTGAATAATGTAACTTCAAAAGCCACCAAGATCATATATATGTGTGTTATGTCATATTATACATACATACATACATACATACACACACACACACATATATATATATACATATATATGTAGTTAAGACACTTAAACACAACCCTCTTGAGAAGTCTTTTTGTTTGTTTGTTTGTTTGTTTGTTTGTTTTTGTCATGGGGTTATTACTCAGGATGGCCTAGAACTAAGTTCCCCGGGCTGTTTTCCCACTTGAAATCTCAGTCTCTAAGGATTACAAGCATGCATCACAGTGTGCCCAGTTTAAGAAGCTGATTTCTTTCTTTCCTTCTTTCCTTCTTTCCTTCCTTCCTTCCCTCTCTCTCCTTCTTTCCTTCCTTCCTTCCCTCTCTCTCCTTCTTTCTTTCCTTCCTTCTTTCCTTCCTTCCTTCCTTCCTTCTTTCTTTCTCTCTCTCTCTCTCTCTCTCTTTCTTTCTTTCCTTCTTTTGTTTGTTTTGGGGACAGGGTCTCACTATGTAGCTCTGGCTGTCCTGCAGTTCACTCTGTAGACTAGGCTGTCCTAGAACTCAGGATGTAGTCCAGACTGCCCTGAAACTCACTCTGTAGATCAAGCTGGCTTTGAACTCACTAATGCAGCCCATTTTTTTTCAATACCCGGTGCCTGGTTCTCCACTAAAATCTTTTCTTGAAGGTGACACACGCCTTTAATCCCATTACTTGAGAGGAAGAGGCAGGTGGATCTGAGTTCAAGGCCAGCATGGTCTACAGGGTCTAAAGAATAATCAGGAATACACAGAGAAACCTTGTCTCAAAAAACAACAAACAAGACAAAACAAAACAAAAATCTTTTCTTGAGCAAGGGTATGATGGTTCACACGTGCAATGCAGCCGTGGGAGACTGAGGCCAGGAGCTAGAGTTCCAGGCTAACCTGGGTAACCTGAGTGAGCCCTTAAACCAGTTGAGTTTTGTGGGTGGCGTCAACCCTGGACAGGTGCACCAGGAGGTAGAGGAAAGGTAGCTGAGGGCGAGCCTAAAAAGCAAGTCAGTAAGCAGCTCTCTCCCATGGCTCCTGGCCTTGACTCTGAGTCCTCCTGCATGTTGGGATTACAGGCCTACCCATGCTACATTCCTTTTACAGAATGCCACCACCGCTAGGCTCCTGCTTGCATTCCTGCCCCAACTTCCCTCAAGTGATAGGGTGGTATGAATGATGTAAACCCTCTTCTCCCCAAGTTGCTCTTAAAGATCATGGTGTTTATCGCAGCAAGAGAGACCAGACCAGGACAGAGCCTATCACAGAACAAAACATCCTTCCTCAAACATTACCTCTACTTTCTTAAAAGAAATAAGAAGTATAAAAGGTTCTTACAGGATGGTGGCATTTTTTAGAAATACTGTTAGAAGAAACGTGGCACGGACAGCTGTAGGCATGTAATACCAACACTACAGAGATGGAGGCAATAGGTCCAAGAGTTCCAGGCCAGCCCCCACTACTCAACTGTAGAACACAGTTGAGGAAAGCCTGGGCTACATAAGACCCCAGCTGAACAACAGCTACTGCTTGTTTTTAAACTATCTGATCACACAAAAACTAAAATCAGAATTCCAGCGATATTCTCACCATACCCTTTACTTACAGAAGTAAAGACAGTCCGACTGCCCAGGAGGGATATGCGGGGTGGTACACACTGTAATCCCAGCAGTCTAGATGCTGAAGCAGGAGAACTGAGAATTCAAGACCGGATCTCAAAAATAAACGTGGTTTGGGAATGTTATTCAAGTTTTCTTCCCAAATGACCTATTCGGTAATACTATGTTTTCAAATTTTCAAAAAAATTATCATATTTATTTACTTATTCCTTTGTGCATGTGTTCATAGATGGATGCCTCTGGAGGTCAGAGGGCAGCTCATGGCAGACAGCTCAGTCCTTTTGTCACACGGGTTTCAGGAACTGATCTGAAGTCATCAGGCTTGGTGACAAGTACCTTAACCCACTGAGCCATCTCTCCAGCCCATGTTCTCAAATTTTAACATTATGAAACAGCTTTGAATTTTCTTATTTAACTATGAACTCTAACTGTGCCAATACTGGCCAAAATTTAGGAATACATTTTGACTAGGTGTAGCTATTCAGCATATTTTCCTTATTAAAATGCCTTTACGACATACCAAAGTTACTAGAGATCAACTTGAAATCAATTTTCTTCTAAATACAAATCATAAAATGGTTTCTTAAAATGAACTATAGTTGTTCTATCAGAGACTGTCACTAGAGAAGCTTGTGTCCACGTTAGGGTCCTATTATCTGCCAGGGACTGTAGACAGGGTAGCCTGTGTCCTCCTTAGGAGTCTGCTAACCCCTCTTCGATGTCTCTCTTCTGCTCTTTTAATGCCAGCGCTTTAATCTGTTATAACCAAAATATTATCTTTTCTACTCTTAGAAAACAAAAGATCTGGGGCTAGAGAGATGGCTCAGCACGTAAGAGCGAGCACAGGCTCCCAGAAGACCTGGGTTCAATCCCAGCACCCACAGGGCAGCTCACAACTGTCTGTAACTCCAGTTCCAGATGATCTGACACCCTCACATAGACATACAAGCAGGCAGAACACTAGTGCACATAAAACAAAAATAAATCATTAAAAAAGAAAACAAAAGGTCACAGCATCTATACTAAAAGAAAGTAGTAACTAGAAAGAGTTAATATGTATTGATCATTTCCATGGTCCGGGCACAGTAATAAATGATACATGAACCATACATGTAAAGGTACTAAAAGCAAGAAAGCCCAGTGTAGAGATAAGGAAGCCGAGGCAAAGAGGCTCAAAGAAAAATGTGTTCAAGGTATTTCTAGATCCAAAGCCTAAGACTCTTAACCTCTGTGCTTCTATCACTAAGGTTAAAATATTACAGTTCGGGCTGGAGAGATGGCTCAGAGGTTAAGAACACTGGCTCAACAGCGTTCAGCCTCAACCTACAGGTCCTGAGTTCAATTCCCAGCAACCACATGGTGGCTCACAACCATCTGTAGTGAGATCTGGTACGCTGGCAGAATGTTGTATAAATAATAAATAAATAAATCTTTTAAAAAATTAAAATTCACTCTTCGTACGGTAGTGCACACCTGTAATCCCAAAACTCAGGATGCTGAGGCAGGAGGAACTCCAGAAGTTCCAGGCCAGACTGGGCTTAACACAGTGAGTCGATTAATCAAAGATATAAAATGAGGAGCAAATTTTTCTCCAATCTCATTACTTAATACATGTATGATAAACGGACAAAAACAAAAGTATGACCTACAGCTTTGTTGCATTTTGTACCTACTCAGAATAAACCCACATCACCAAAGTTTATCCCTGACAGCCATTTAAAGAACGGTTACAAATTAAGAGCAATAGATTAAGAACCTCAATGTGGGTACAGCGGTCAATTATTCCCCCTTTCCACCCCAAACCAAAAAGAAAGTGCTGTTCTTGGCCACCCCAATCCAATCAGCGCTTTTTTTCCTCTTTGGTCGCCAAAAAAGTCCTAAACCGTAGCTTGCTTCTACAAATCTGCAATTGCTTGTCTGCAAAATAGCCCTGTTGCCTGGAGGACCAACACCAGCCCGAGTACCATTTCTTCAAGATCGCCCCTGCGTTCTTTCCTGTCTCCCCGATGCTCATTCTCTCCTTTGATGGATCACTTGCTACACTAGGGGATCTGGTCGAACTACCAATCACTAACATCAAAGTCCGCTCCATTTTCCGCAGACGCTGTCTCAAGCCACCAAAAGCCCCCGTCCGCTTTTTACCGCGATTTGCACCCTGGAGCAAAAACCCACCTTAGACACTCGGCAGGGTTCCCGGCTCGCCAGCTCGGCGCCGGTGCAGGCATTCAAGAAACCCTCCCGAGTGAATGGGCGGAAAGCAGCGTGGGTGGAGGCGGGAAGAGGGGGACGCGAAGGAATGCCACACAGCCCGGACCACGGCAGCGGCGCCGGGACCGGGAGGGTGGGACCCGGGCCGCGCCGCCGAGTCCGGGGGCTCCTCCACGGGCAGCCGCCGTCCCCACAGGCCAGCGCAGCGCGCTCCCGCACCTCGGCCGACCGGCCTTCGAACCCAAGGACCGCCCGGCCCCGCGCGGGCTCACCTGACGCTCCCGCCGCTCCGCGCTCCTCGCCCGGCGCGAGCCCGACTGCAACGCGGGTGCGCGAGATCAGCTGATTCATGGGGGCGGGGCCTCCCGGCGGGGGCGGGGCCTCCGCGGAGGGATGAAGAGGCGGGCCCGTGGGATGGGTGGAGCTAAACAGGACTTGGGGACGGCGTCCGGCAGGGATCAAGATTACTCGGAACGCATCGGCAACTGCAGGCACGCTACTCAGCCGGGGCGGAACCGACAGCTCCCGGGCGCACTTGAGCGGCAACCGAAGACCTAGTGAACGGACCTCGCTGCGTAAGCGTTTCCACGGTAACGGCTGGCCACGCTTGAGGATGGAGGCTGCTGCAAGTTTTGTTACCTCTTCAAACTACGAGAGATGGGTGGTGAGGGGAAGGTAAACGTCTTACCTCGTGGAGCGGGACTGCACACGTCCGTAATCCCAGCGTTTGTGAAGAGGCGGCAGGATCAGGAATCCGAGGCCAGCCACACAGCCGGTTCGAGACCTGCCTGAGCTGCGAGAGACCGCGTCTCCAGGAAAATAACAAAAGTAGAAACACGAACTGTCTTCACGAGCGCTTTTACGGACTGCTCCCGGACGGAGAGTGCTTCCTTCCCCTCAACTGACATCATCTCTTCGCCGGTGCGCGTTTGCCGCGTGCCCACCCCAAAGTGTAGAGCGAGGGGTGAGGCAGAAATGAACTGCCCGCTCTCCTAAGTCCCTCGGAAATCGTGTTATACACGATTTATTGTACTCCTCGACATACAATGATAAGATTGTTTTGCTTGCCCCACGGTGTCACAACAGCCCATACTCCGCCTGAAGGCCTCCCTTGAGCATTTTCCCTAACAGCTGCTCTTGTAATGCAAGCAAGGGCTAAACCTGCTGCTGGACAGTGTGCATCGCTGGACCTGCAGGCTTGCCTTTACTCCATTAAAGATAGATGTGTTCCCCGGGTCTAAAGCTCCTGCCTACAAAACCCTACCTGGTTCCCCCAACTCAGCGTCCTCAGCAGGGCAGGAAAGGGCAGAGCCTTGAGAATGGCGCCATCAAATGCAGCAAGCCAAAGACGCCCTGCACTTCAGTGGAGCCTGGGTCCCTGCGGGCCTAACAAGCGGGCCTATGCTAGCTCTCCCGGGTACGCCAACGGAAAAGACAGCGGTGAAAGAGGTGCGTTCAACGTGGCTACACTAGAACAAAGGGCCGGCCCAGTTCACCCTCCCAAGTGTATCCTTGGTGTCCTGACGTGAGCTTTAGCCAGAAGGCAAGGGGTAGCCACTGCTCCTGGCCGGTCCTGCAGGTTGGACGCACAAGCTGTCAGAATTAAGAAACATGTTCTCTCTGGTTTTCACCGGGAATCCCGATCTTTTCCTTCCCCATCGAGAGACTCTTGAGGAAGTTCTCATTCTTTGCAACCCGTGGTCCTGTTGGTCCAACAGTCAAAGGGAGGGGCACAAGCGTGTCTTCATTCCTCTCAGAATGGGCACAGAGCTTCAGTGGAGACATCCAAGGGGCCAGACTTTATTACTGAGCCTAAAACAGTCTCCCTTGTATGCTCACATGTTATCTCCTAGTTCTCTCCCGGGGTTACCCCACTTCTCATGGGCTCCTAATCTCTTACTGAATTCTATCCTGCCCACCCATTTTGATAAAAATCCTTTCCCTCTCCTGTAAAGAGATGTCCTCTCAAGCTAATCCCCTCCCCTCCCCTGTATCATGGAATCTTAATCCACTTAGAGACTCATTTTTTTATCCCGTTCTTTCATCCTCCGCTCTCATTCTTTCTCCTCGACAAATAAGGCCTGTGGTGTCCTTTTTAGTTATTTTTGTTCTACCTCATGTCCTGTGCAAGCTAACGCTTTACCTCTACTTCTCTGGTTGTTTCGTTTTTCAAGACAGGGTTTCCCTGTGCAGTCCTGGCGGGCCTGGAACCTTCTCTGTAGACCAAACTGTCCTCAGACTCAGAGATTCATCCATCTCTGCCTCCCAAGTGCTAAGAGTTAAACTTCTGCCTTCACCTTGGAATCTCACCATCATTGTGTCTGTCACTGTCACCACAATCTGTCATCTCGGCTTGTTTACATCTACTGGAGGCAGCAGTAATTTTGAAACGTCATGATCCAGTCTTGCGTGAATCATTCTGTCACCCATTTAATAGAAAGAGGATGGGAGCCCTGCCTGGAAGCACGGGATATTAATCCTCGAATTTGGGAGGCAGAGGCAGGTTTGAGGCCAGACTGGTTTACAGAGCAAGTTCTAGGGCAGAGAAACCCTGTGTGGTGGCTAGTCTTATGTGTCAACTTGACACCGCTAGAGTTATCAGAGAGGAAGAGCCTTGGTTGAGGAACTTCCATGAGATCCAGCTGTAAGGCATTTTCTCAGTTAGTTCAGTGGGGAAGGGCCCAAGCCTGCTGTGGGTGGTGCCATCCCTGGGCTGATGGCTCTAGCTTCTATAAGAAAGTGGGCTGAGAAAGTTGTGAGGAGCAGCACCCCTCCATGGCCTCTGCATCAGCTCCTGCCTCCAGGTTCCTGCTCTGTTTGAGTTCCTGTCCTGACTTCCTTTAATGATGAACGGCAATATGGAAGTGTAAACTGAATAAATCCTTTCCTCCTCAACTTGCTTTTTGGTGGTGGTGTTTTGTTGCAGCAATAAAAACCCTAAGACACCTTGTATTCAAGAGAGAAAAGAAGAGAAGGGGGATGGGGGCTGGAGCACTCACTGGCTGCTCTTCCAGAGAACTGGGGTTCTCAATTCCCAGCATCCCCATGGTAGCTCACAACCGTCTGTAACTTCAGTTCCAGGGAATCTGACACCCTTACACAGACATACACACAGTCAAAACACCAATGCAATAAAAGAAAAAAAAAAAAAAGATCTGCAAGTTAGATTGATGGGAAGGGCAGTTAGGTGCCTAGTGATGTCATTCTAGTAGCTATGGATAATCTATGTGGCCTTTCAGGAGATGTACAGAGTGGTAAGTAAATATGACATTTATCCTTATAAAGAATAAATTTTATCTCTGAAAGAACAGACTTAAGAATGGCCTCCAAAGCTGGGCTCAATGGTGTACACCTGTGATCCCGGCCCTTGCGGAGACAGAGACAGAGACAGATCTCTGTGAGTTTGAGGGCAGCCTGGTCTATAAAGGGAGTCCAGGACAGCCAAGGCTACACAGCAAAACCTTGTCTCAAAAAAACAAGAAAGAAAGGAAGTTGGGCTTTCGGAGTTTGATATGTTCTTTCCATATCTTGGCTCTGGGGCTTGTCAGAAATCTGTGCGATGGGAAGTCTCTCATTGTGAACAGAAGATCATGAGTTGGGAGTTAGTAAAAACAAGGCCGTTCATCAACTTTTATCTCCTAAGGATTGATCATGACAGCAAAGGTGGAGGGCATGTGGTGAATTAATCTTTTTGAGCTTTCTTCTGTTTGGGCTGTATCCAATGTGAAATGCAAGTGTGTGTCAACAGTAACACAGACATATTTTTTGGTGGCTGAATTGGGAAATGCGGGTGACATCAGTTTGCCAGAGGGCATTGGATTTAGGGCCTGGGGGGTAGTGCCCACAGTTTCTAAAGCTGGGGTGGTAATAGGGATGCATAAGAGGAGCATGTTTTAATTATCCTCCAGAGCTGAGCAAGAGGGATACGGGGGGAAGCGAGCAGGAAGCCCTTTAGTGTGTGTGTGTGTGTGTGTGTGTGTGTGTGTGTGAATGGAATGGATCTGCTTGCTCATTGGAGCCTGCAAATGCACCTGTAGAGGTGGCCCAATCATCGAGAGCATTTTCCTCAGATAATCGAACCTGGGACATGGAAAAGCAGAGAGAATAGGAGGTTGGCATCTAGTGTGGCAAAAGGTCTTGATAACCAAGGAAGCAAATAAGCAGCATATACACTGTCTGAGAAGAGGCTGAAGAGCCCAATGGCATCTTTGATGGCTAAATAAATGTCATACAGTTCCTTATACTGGGGAGAGTGATGATACAACTCACTGACTTGAATAATGAAGGGTTCATCCCTGGGAGAGGAGTACTGCCAGAATGGAGAGCCATCCCAATGCTCCATGGGGCTCACACGGTGCTCCTACAATTAGGGGAGGACTTAAAAAGAAGAAGCTGTACAGGCAACACTGGATCATACCTAGTGAGTGCCACGTCTTTTAGGGCTGCATTATTGGGGGCCTAAAGCCTCAACTGCCTCAGAAGAGAGAATTCACAGGGAGAAGGGTGTTTCATCCCCTTTAGGAGATCAAAGAGAGGCTCAATGGTGCTGGTGAGGAGGGAAAGCCATCATCAAAGTCAATTAAGGTTTCCCAAAAAGCTTTGGGAAGAGGCAAGAGTTAAGGTTTGAGGGAAAGAAAGAGTGGGTTTAAGAGGGTGTGCTGAGGTGGAGGAGATTTCCATTCCCAAGAATGTGATGGGCAGATTAAGTGTATTTTGTGAGGTATTTTAAATCCTAGGGAGGCTACGAAAGGTATCGATTGAGCCTCAAGTTGGGGGCTTAACACCAAGATATCCACATAATGATAAATGTAGAGATCTTTGGCTAAGGAGAGCCTTAATGCTGGGGCAACGGCCTCCTGGCAGACAGTGGCACTGTTTGCCATCCCTTAGGGGAGGACTGTCCACTGACCAGGCCAGAGTTGTTATGGGGGGGGGGGGTATTGAGAACGAAAAGCATTGGAAATCCTGAGGGAAAAGGGAAAAGAGGGGTAGAGAAAAGCAGTCTTTAATGTCTATTGCTAAGAGAGGGTGAGAATGAATGGTTGAAGATGAGGGGTAGCTCCCTTTGGGACCCCCCTCCAACACATATGGTTTTATTAATTGCCCTTGATTCTTGTAGCAGTTTCCATCCCCCGAGCTCCTTTTATAGTGAACACAGGTGTGTTCCATGCACCGTGGGAAGAACGAATATGGTGCAGCTGGAGTTGTTCTACTAACTGTGTGAGAGCTTCAAGTTTCTCTCTTGATAG